GCTTCTCCTAGCTGTGTACCTTGAGCAGCCCAGTGTGGTACAGGCACTAATGCACAAGGGAGTGAACCTAGTTCTGCAAGACCGTAATGGCAACACCCCGCTGCACCTGGCCTGTGAGCAGCAGAGCTTGCCCTGTGCCCAGCAGCTGCTGCAGGAGCCAGTCCCTGGGCAGCGCCCGCAGGACCTACAGCTCCAGAACTGGCAAGGTGAGGAGCAGTGCAGCAGGAGGGAATGGCTCCTGGGGATAGCTCTTGGTTGTAGTGTGTAATGTGTGGGAGGGGTAGGGGGATGGGAGCCAGGTGCTGACTCTGTAGCTGCAATGTGTGTGGGGGTGGGGTGCCAGGTGCAGTGCCTGGTTCTGTAGGTGTGTGGGTGTGTGGTTAGCACCAGACTCCATGCTGAGATGCCCTAGGCAGAGAAGGCTTTTTGTTCAGCCTTGGTGCAGTGCTTAGCTAAACAGGGCTTCAGTCTGGGACTTAGGGTTCCTGATGATATGTGTTGTACCTAGAGCTGCCTCTGCTGTGTCTCCTTCCCAGGCCTCACCTGTCTGCACATCAGTACCCTGAAGGGGAACCTGCAGCTGATGACACTGCTGCTGCGGAGTGGAGCAGACATTAATGTCCAGGTAATGCAAGACATGGCAGGTGAGGCAGCTGGCACTGCTGCCTGAGCCACTCTGTGCCCCTCCCCCAGGCTGGCATCGTGGGAATAACCTATGCAGGCACAGAGGCTGGCTGGTGACAAACTTGCTCCTGTATCAGGCAGTGGCAAGGCTGATGGGACATGGGACTTTGGCATCAGGGCTTCTGGGTGGGTGTGGCTTTTCTCTTGGGCAGAGAAGAAATGCCCCATGTCATGCAAGGCCCAGGGCAGCCCTTTGGCTGGGGGCTGGGCTGCAGGGGGAAGGTGTCCATCTCAGCAGTTTTGTGCCCTGTGGGGTTTCCATGGGGGTGGTGCAGTGGTTGCCATTGTGAATGGTCATCCTGTTTTGGGGGCTGCCAGTGGGAGAGATGACAGGGCCCATTCTAACAGCCCCCGTGCATTGCTGGCTCTAGGAGGGCACGAGTGGGAAGACGCCGCTACACCTGGCAGTAGAGTGCCACAACCGCGAGGCAGTCCAGTTTCTCCTGCGCAAGGGGGCCTATGTAGACGCCCAGATGTACAATGGCTGCACACCCCTGCACCTGGCTGTGGGCCGGAAAGATGCCGCCGTTGCTGCCATCCTGTCCCACTCAGGTGCTGACACCCTGCTGAGGAACATGGAAGATGAGACCGCCCAGGACCTGGCTGATGGCAACGATGATGTGAGTCTGCCTGTGTCCTCTGCAGGGCAGCCTGTGGTGGGCAGCCTGTGGTGGGTGGTGTCCTGTGCAGGGCCCTGTGCTGGGCCAGCTTCCTGCCTCAGGAAGCTGGCCCTGGCCCTAGAGAGAGGGTACAGGAGATGGCACACCTCTGCACAGGAGGCACTGTAAGGGCAGGAACATTTGTTGTGAGGAGCTCCCAGCTACTCCAGTGGCAGCTCTTCCTGGCTGGAGAGGAAAAGGAGGGCTGGCTGTGAAGGAGTTTGCTGTTGCCTTGGTTTGCTCTGTCCTGCTTAGGAAGAGCTAAGTAATGGGCCAAGTGCTCCTGTCAGCACTCGCCTACCGTTTGCTGCACCCTGGCCTGGGTGGGCTGGCCGCCTGCATCACTGCCCTGCAGTGCAGCCATTCCCTGTGGGGTGCAGGGATGACACCTGTTCTGGGCACACACTGAGGTTTTAACCTAGCTCCTCAGCATTAACCCTCTTCTCTCCATACCCTTTTGTTTTGCAGCTCTTGGCCCTCCTGCCTTTCGATGACCTGAAGATCTCGGGGAAGCCTGTTGTGTGCTCTGAATGAGGGATCAAACTGACTTCGGGGGCTGCGTCCCCACCTCTCTGCAGGAGGCAACCTGCTGCTGCTCCCTACTCCTTCATGGACACCTGTATGCAGCACACTGAACTGATGTGCATGGAGATACAGCTTGGGAAATCCTTCCCTTTGTAGCAGAGTGCCCGTGGTCTCTGACTTGCACTCCAAGCAGGGAGCAGCTGGAGGAAGGTAGCACCATGAACACTACATGAGACTCTTGAATGGTGCTTTAGGACCTCTGGCTTGTGGGATGGTACCTGTGCTGCAGAGAGAAGGGTCTGGCATTCCCTCACACCCTCCCCCCTCAGTTGGGGACAATTGGAAGGGGACATCAGTCTCCACGCTGTACCGGAGAGCAGCCAGCAGGTGGAATGGCCTCTGCTCTATGCCCCCAAGTAATATTGGAGCAATTGCAGGGCAAGGACCATCCCTTTTTCCCAAAGAGGCTCTCCGCCACTCCCTTCCTGTTGAATAAATTCTTCATCTATTTGCCTCTGCTCAGGGCTCTGCGATTTCCACATCCCTTCTCAGCATCGTGGGGGGCTATGCACTCACCAGAGCTGTAGCCCCCAAGAGGCAGATTTTCTTCACCTGCCTAGCTCCCAGCTGTGAAGGAGCTGAAGTAGACAGGAAGGGAGAGTCTTCCTTCAGCTCTTCCACCTCTACCTGGCACACCAGAGATGAAGAATGGGAGCCCCCAGCCCTGCACATGAGTTGCTGGGGAGAGGCACAAGGCCCCACCTGGGTCCAGGGGATCCCTGCCCCCCCTTGCATAAGTCCAGCATAGCTGGACTCGGCCCCGGCCTGATGAGGAGCAGGGCTCCTTCTCCTGTAGGCAATTCCATTCTGCCTATCCTCGCCCCCACTCATGGCTGCTGCTGGACACCCGTAGAGAGGAGGAGCTGTGGAGGGTCTGAGTTTCCTCCCCAGCACTGCTGCTGGCTTGCTGCATCCCTGCAGACACCCTCCCCCTGCTATGCCCTGGTTTTCCCCCTCCAAAAAGAGGATGTAGAGACCCTGTGACCCACCTTCCAGTGGGTGCATGAGACACTTGGTGTCTGGATGTCAGTATAGGGATGAGAGCCTCCAGTAGAAGTGGCTGGAGCAGAGCCAAGGGGTATTAATTGGGAGGATGGCAGTCTATCACTTCCCCCTGATGGTGGATGCCATATGTTCCCTCAACTCCCACTTCAAGAGGGCTGTGTAGGCAATGAGCAGAGCCTTCAGAAGTCAGCAGGCCAAGCAACTAAGGGAATGGGAGTGTGTATGCCAGCTTCAGTGCCCCTGACCCCACCTTGGCTGGGGAAATTCCCAGCCCAGTGGCTGGGAGCGGCTGTTATTGTTTGGGGCAAGTCCTGGATGGCGCAATAGCCTGGGATGCTTAGGAGCGCCTGCTCCTTCCTTCCCCCTTCTTGGAAAGGCACATGCAAGGGAAACATGCCAGGAAAGAAGCCAAACTTCCCAGCAGGCCCTTCTGCAGCCTCAGCACAGCCTCTCTCACCTGTTCTAAACCACCAGCCACACTTCTCTTTCGTGCTCCCTTTTGCCATCTGCTCAGGTCCTGCTGGGATCACAGGCACAATAAGGTGACTGGCCTCAGCCAAAGCCAAGTGGAAATTGATCTTCTGCATCTCAAACCAGCTCCGTCTTCATTTGGGGGTGAAGGGCAGGTTCTGTCCTGGAAAGGCCTAGGACTGGAATAATGGGAGGAGCTCTGGATCAGGAATGAGGGGCATTGGCAGAGCCCAGCACTGGGACAGGAGGTGGGTGTAGGGGGCTGCAGCTTGGTAAAAAGGGCAGCGATGAGAGGACTTGTTCACCTTTTTCTAGTAAAGGACCACCCTTTTCAGATCAAGGGGCACCTCAGAAAGGTGTCCTGTGTTGTCACCCCATGGCTGCTGGTGGTATTGCAGTTGTGTTGAGCTTCAGCTTTGCAGTTTCACCAGGGCTCCTGTGCAGTTGCACATCATTTGTCACGGCCTCAGCCTCAGCAAGTTCCCAGGCTCCAATGCAGCAGTGCCCACCCTTTTTGCCCTGGGGCTGGTTGATACCTGGACCAGACCATCCACAGGCTGTATCCAGCTGGTGAACCAGAGCCAGTGCTGCAGGGGTCCAGTGAAGGGCAGGTGGAGCTTGAGCCCACTCCAGCCAGGTGAGAGTAGGGGGCCCAGCCCCAATCCAGCTGTAGCCTGGCTCTGAGCTGACCACGTTGGGGAGGGGGTGTGTTGCAGTCAAGGCTCAATCCAGCCACGCAGCAACAGCTTGGCCTCAATCCGGCCTCAGAGGATATAGGCAGGAGGGGTGCAGCATGGCCTGGCCCTGATCCAGCCGCATACGGAGGTGGTTAGGGGCCTTGTCAGGCCTGGTTTCACCACACAGGGCTTGGTAATTTGGCAGTGGGAGAAGGATGGCAAGATTAATTGCTACCACTCCCCCGCTACTAAATTTCCCAATTCAGGGGAGATGCCATGGCTGTGTGGGCTGGATTTGGCCATGAGCCAGGGGCTGAGCACCCCTGCTCTAGTGCTTTCAGCAAATGTGGGGGGTGCCGGGACTGTTGGGGAAGGGACAGCCTCCTGTCCCCGCTGAGGAGTCCAGGGGGTGTTTGAATATTATTTGTCATTTAAAAAATAAAACGTTTAGTTGTGATTCATCTTTATTGTGGTTCCAGTTCCTGATCTCTCCCTGGGCTCTGATCCACACGCCTTTCTGCAGAGGTAGAAGCTGGCACCCAACAGCTCTGCAGGGTCTCCTGGGGGGGCGAGCAGCACTGGGCTGAAGCTCTCTTAGTACTAGGACCATGAGCCAGTAGGCATCTTCACCCTAGGCCAGTTGGTCATGCCTGGCATAAAAAATGGGACTTCAGCAGGGCGAAAATTTGTTTGGTGCTTCAGCTGGATTGTTCCAAGGTAATTTTTGCAGCACCCGACACGTCCCTGTGGACTGAAGTGGTCAGAACAGGCCTGTGCCTGCCTGAAGATATGATCTTTGCCTGCGTCTTCTTCTATTCTTTGGGTCACCTGCACTCCCACAGGCCTCAGCACTAAGCCTGAGTGCTGTTCTGAGGTCACCCCGCCACCAGCCTGGTGGGGGGTAGCGTCTTCCTCTGAAATAGTACTGGATTCCCTGCTCTCCCCTCCTTCCCTGCCTCTGTCCCTGTCTGTAAATCACTCTCATTTTATGAATGAACTAAAAAGGGCACAGGCTGCTGCTTCTGTGGAGCATTTAGTCTCTAAGTCGCAGGTCCGAATCCATGCAATACTGCTTTAGTGACCCATGTACAATGAAGGCATGAGAGAAGAAGGTCTTGGCATGACAGAGATTCCCGTCCCCATCCCAACTCCCACTGGCACGGTTCAGCTTTAGCAGCCAAGCCAAGAGGTGACTAGGCTGTTTAGACAGAATTCCCTTGGCACGCATCACCCAGCACCCATTCTCTGGACTGCGAAAGGAAACAAACAAGCCAATGACTGCTATTTTAAAGAGCTCCCTGGCCTAAGCTAAAGTCTGGGGGGAGGAGAGGGCAACAAACTGGCTTGCCATCTTCTGCAGGTTCAGCTGGGATTCAACCTTCCCCGCTCTTTCTTCCCCAGCTTGGGAGTGGCAGAAACAGAGCGAGGAAGGGGAGGCAAGTGGCCCTGTGGCACAGATCAGCACTGCTGTACTTCCTCACCCCCATGTAGGGTGGCCATCATAGAGGACAGTCCGGTTGTCCTCTGCCCTCTATTGATATGAAACTGGACGCCTTTATGGCCTCTATTTTTTTCTTGAAGAGAAAAATAGAGGACATAAAGGCGTCGGGTTTTGTATCAGTAGAGTGCAGGGTAGCAGAAAACTGGAATGTCCCCTGTGACAGCCACCCTAGCCCCATGTGTGCTCAGGACAGGGGCTAGTGTTGGGCTGGGGGCGCTGGCCACTGAACCAGGGTGGGGGGAAAGCCAAGCGGTCCCTGTGGCAAAGCTCCGGGCTCCGAGCTGGCAGCCTGCGCTCGCAGGGCAAAGAGAAGTGCCCCGCCACCGAGGAAAGGGGCCCGCTGGAGCTGAGCCCCGTGCCTCGCCTCACGGCGGCCCCTGCTGCAAGAGACGAGGAGCCCAAACCCCACGGAGCAGGCCCAGCACGGGGGCCACGCCAGCACCACCCTCGGGCACTGGGCTTGCTCAGCA